TGAACACACCTACCACTCCCACCCCAACCATCAGAGGAGAAGGACCATGCAGAAAGAGAACACACCTGGGCCAACCGTGGGGCCATGGTCTTCGGATCTCATGGTTCGATGCCTGTGGGGCGGCATCCACGGCCAGGCCACTTCTTTTGGAACGAAACCGAAGACTGAACACAAGGAAGCAATAAAGGTTCCTTGAACCTGAACTAGACTATCCCAGTTGGGTACCCCAGGTTATGGTCCTATAAGTTCACTTAACCTCTCTTGGAACACACTTAGGACTCTACGCATGCATCGAATCGTCCGAAACCTTGAGGCAGGCGAAATTGGAGGATGGTCCAGCCATTTGGGGTGCAAACCACAGCCAAACCACCTTGCAAGTAGGAGCCGGTAACTGGACTCCTATACGCAAAAAGGAAAAGGGGAAAAGGAACCATTCCCGGGACCACTCCAATGGACTGGCATGCCGTTTCAACCATTTAAATCACACCTTGACTTAATCGGGTTTCTTCTCCCAATCTCAGACAGGTGGCGTCAGGAAATGGTGGTGAAAATTGGTGCTGCGCTCGATCGACTACCCTCTCGGTGCTTTCTCGGCGGGTTGCGCGTGAGAAGCGTATCTTTGGTTGTTTGGGCCTCCAAATATGACATCCAGAACTGGTCGGTGATGGATGAGAACAAGTCTAGGTCCATCCTAATCTCTGTTACAGTGGATGATGATGATGATGATGATGATGATCCGACGGTGGCCACTCCACAGGTGATCCCGTGGAGACTCTCGCTCTCCATGAACCACAAGTACTCGCTGGAGATGCATTCCCTGTGGCAGGAGCTGGCATTCTCGGGACTATGGCAACTCATTTTGGGCAAGATGCGACCAGCCTCGCTTCAGAGGACGCCATTGGCAGGCCACCTCGGCCGGATGTTGGAGACCCTATGAGCTTGGCTTCCAAACAGACACTCAGGGGTTTGCAAAACCCAGGAAACTGCTGCTACATGAACTCAGCCGTCCAGGGTTTGCTATGGGGTGCAATCAAAGTGGGGCCTTTGCAGGCACACCAATGGAAGGTCCTACCAGAGATCTTCGAACACATCGTCAGCAATGATGATGGTGAGCCTGTCTTGCTATGGGGCAATGGCAAGTGGCTTTCTTTGATGGATCAATGGGCCCGTCCCTTTGCACAGCACGACCTAGTTGAATACCTCCAGTTCCTGCTTCCCATTGTGGAGCCTTGTTTCCTGAGCAATCTCTGGGAGGCCAGGATTGAGGCAGATGGAGTTGTCCGCACGGTGGACAGCGGGGCACACTTCTGTCCTGTACGTCTCTATCTGAGCGCAGCGGAAAACGAAGATACGACCGAGCTGCAAGAGCTGTTCAGTGCATGGTCACTTGAGTCTTATGGCCTCCAGGCCTTTGCTGGTCCAGCCGACCTACTCACTGTGCAGATAGACCGATTCAATCGAGATGGGGGCAAATGCACTCACAAACTCAGTTGGAACCATCCAGTGTTTGTACCTCACTTCGTGCACTTTAGCATGGAGATTGACAACATTCCATACACGGTGGTTGCGGTTTCCCATCATGTAGGTCATGACCCTCACTCAGGACACTACCAGACTGCACTTTGGGATGAGACCCACTGGGTTTTGTTGGATGATGCAGCGCCTCCAGTGCATGTGACTCGACTTCCGGACGACGTGCTCAGGAACTGCTGTGTCCTCTGGCTGAAGCTTACGGACCATGGCGGAGCTCAGATCTGTGATGTGATTGACTCAGGCTCCTTGGCAATTTTGACTAAGGAACAACAAATGCTGCACGTAAAGCATGCGTTCAGTCAGGACCATGCACTTTTTGATGCTTGGCTGCCCGCTCTCGATCGTCTCGACGTTCGATTGCTGCTTGACTCCTTGGAAGCATGCGGCCTCCTGACGCGGCGCTGTGTGCTGTGCAACATGCAGCCGCCTGACCTCAAGTCTCACTTGAGGCTCCACCATGCTGCGCTGTGGGATGAAGCTGAGCAGCCGTGTGAGGAACTCACGTTCCAATTCATGACGCAGGCCAGACCAGGTCGTTTGTGCGCCTGCCAACCTTTCTATAGTGGGATGGAGAGCATGGACGAACATATCTGTCCTTGTTTTCGCAATTTTGGAATGCTCCACCGATTCTTGAAGCGCATGCAGCAGGATGTGGCCATAGAAACGACGGCCGCACTTGCTTTGCAGATCGCTCAGTCCTTTTCATGACCATACGTGGTACGAAGTGCCTGACCTGACAAATGTTCAAGAGGGTCAACGCTACCTCCCGAAGCAGAGGGCGTCGCGAAAGAAAGAAAAGATGATGATGATGATAAGGATGATGATGATGATGATCATGATGATGATGATGATGATGATGATGATGGTGATGGTGATGGTGATTGTCATTAAATGTTATTACTAAATAGCAGTAGAAGTAGGAGGAGCAGCAACAGCAGCAGTAGTAGTCAGTAGTCAGTAGTCAGTAGTCAGTAGTCAGTAGTAGTAGTAGTAGTAGTAGTAGAAGTGCTGGTGGTGGTAGTAAAAACCGGTAACTTAGTAACACTCTTTGACTGGGTGTTTAGGACAAATTCCACTTTGTTTCACTTTCTTCTCCGTGGTTCACGCTAAACCAGGTGACGGATACCCCTCCCTGCGGGGGCGTACTGAATCACGCCGGGTGCCGCTGCGACGGCTATGGCGTGGCCAGTGCCGCTGTAGAATCTCAGAACGTGCGCGGCGGGATGGATCACTTACTTTCTTAGTTTGTGGATGATTCAGAGGCACCAGTATGTGGGAGCTGGTTTCTGACAACATGTTTCTAGACTTGCTGCAAGTCCAATTGCCCAGCGCCAGTTGCTGACAAAAAACCACTCAATGCTTTGACACCACTCCACTGGTTCCCATCTTGCGTATCACCAACATCGTGGGGCAAGTCACCGCCCCAAAAGAACCCCTCCCTGTTTACATAGCGAGAGGCGCCCCGCCACCCCAGTCCGTGGCTGTTCGAAGAGAGCGAGCTCCTGTCCCTACACGAAAAAGAGCGAGACCTTGAAAACCCAATCAAAGGAAGGTTTCCTGAAAATATTCAGTCAAAATATCGTCTTTGCAGCGTCTTTGCATTTTGTTGGGGGACTATGTATCTGTGTCTCAACCACATGGCTTCACTCCAAGGACCTATGACATATATATGCATGGCACCTGCTGTTTCAGCTGTCTCGAAACCGCTTGGAACCGAGTAAAGAACATGCACTAATTGCGAGATCGTCTTGGACACCGACCCACAGGTAATACAAAGGACTGAGTTTCCATGTGCTCTCCATTCAAGCTGTGCACCCGAATGCAGGGCATCGACAGCCGGCGACAGCACGACAGCCGGCGGTTGGATGTGAAGGAAGCACTTTTGGGGCCAAATGGCTGACCAAAGGCGGACAGTACATGGTGGTGAACGTGACGAAACCGGCACCACCATGAACAAAGGATGCTCCAATGGGGATCTACAGCGTTCTCCTGAAAAGTGGGGTGGTGGGCTGTTGGATCAGTGCTTTGCACTGCGCCACCCCGAACTAGGTGCTCCGTATGTTCCACGCACGTCCCGACCGACGGAGCACCCGCGCATAAGTGTGTGATCTGAGAACGCCTCGGTCCGCGGTTGGAGATGCGACGAAATCGGTTAGGAAGATTGGATCAATTGGCTTGGTCTTGGCTGTGTAGAAAAGAAGAGGAAGACCCACCAACCAAGGGGAGCTTTCTTATAAGTCTTTGCTGGGTTTTTGTTGGGAGGTCTCCCATGGTCACTACATGAACCGACCAAAACGTCCACTGCTTAGGGGAGATTGACCTAGACGTCCTTCATTCATCCCAGTAACACCATGTCGACATGCCGTGGATAGGGTGAGATTGGATGGTCAGGAATGCGTGCAGCATCCCACACCTCAGCAGCCGTCATTCTCCAAGGAGTCTCTTGGTTTTGCTCTTGCCATGGCTGCGCTATACTGGTAGATTGTTTTTGAGTTGGACAGAACAGAGCTGGAATCTTGCATATCTTCTGCGCAGCAGTTTTCATGAAACATAGACTATAGTAAGCTGCCATGCCATGCTTGATTGACACCTCGAGAACCGACGCAAGAGGTCGCTGTCGCATGGAGGTGAAACCGCGGATCCGATCGGCCAAGAGACCTGCCAGGTATTGTTTTTTCAACGACCACCGCGTGCAGGGTGGAGGTTCGGCCATTCCGCTGGTGGTGGAACAAGTCGGAGGCCCAAGTCGTCCTTATGTCTTGAGAAAACTGTTCCATCTGCTCCACGGTACAACCGTTTCAGCATGCTACTTCATGAATCAAAACTTGCGGGCCTCCACGTGTTCCACCACCTGAATTCCTCCAAACCCAGGCAACCCACGAACGCAAAAGTAACTATATATCCCACATTCGATGCGACAACTTGTAATGACCCCTGTTGAATTGAGGGAAAACGCCTCGACAATGGTTAAAGGACTGGGTAGCTTCACTGGGAATGGTTGTTGAGCGCCCAAGACCCTGCGCTGCAGGGTGACGAGCAGGGTCCGGCGCCCGAATTCCGAAGGCGTCCGACTTCCGGCACAGACTGCTGAGACTGCTGGGTACCTGGCACCTGCAGCCCAGTGGCACAGGCAGGCAAAGAACCCAAAAAACCAGGGTTCCCAAGCCGGTCACATGTATTCAAATGCCCGGATTGAACAGGAAGAGGGCTATGCAACCAGCAGTTGTCATCATCTTCTATAGGTGTTTGTCCCAGCAGGTGTCCGGCGGGCGGCTTTAAATTTTGTGTGAACACATTAATGTCACAAAATATAAACTCTTCGAATTGAAGCTAGGTTCTCAAAAAAAACCAGTGATTGTACATCTCATGCCACGTGCCCAGTCTGATTTGAGTTTGGTAAGCAAAAACTAATCCAACATCAAGCCATGATTCACTGAATAATTGAAAGGAATCTAATGTCATCCCTCTGATACTTTCATCTATTTCCCCAATCCAATCCCTGGCTCTCACTGTCCACGCGGATGCCGGCTTGGCCGGACGGCATGGAAGTGCCAACTGATCACTTCTGAGATCTGTCCATCGATGTGGAACCGAGCAAATCGCCAACCTCTCCTGCGGTCGGCAGCGACTGGCGACGCTCGCGACTGAAAACCCGACGGAGAGGTCGGACACGGAGACGCGTTGGAAAGCGCGCATGCGCATTCGGCCAGGCAGATCGAGAGAAGCGGAAGTTCTGTCGGCACGGGGAGACACGGGCAGGGTGTTTGTGTGAACTGAAGGGCCAAGTGAAACTATTGATTGCCTTTTAGTGAGGATGTGGATGGATCCAGCACGAGTTTGTTGGAAAAAAGCGCAACGCGTATTTCCAGGACCGTGCAGCACCTGCACCCACTCGATTGGATGACCAAAACGGGCTTCTACATTACTTCTATGGCCTTGGAGGGTATTGCCATGCCGGTGCCGCGAAGTGATGTCTCGACGGCGGAGGCGGACTCGACTCCGGCTAAAACCAGATGTCCAGTCCCATGAGAGGGAGCTCCGGGAGCTCCACCGGCTGTACAGCATCCTGTTGGAAGGAATCACTTTTTAAAAAAACGAAAACTCACATAGGGAAGACGATTTTCCTCTACCAACCAGGGGTTTTCAGGGTCCATGGGTTCGTCTTCCAGGGTGTAAAAATAACTTGATAGAAGAGGGAAGAGGTAGCGTTTTAGATTACTGGACCGTGCCAGTCTGCTGGTTGGGATCACCGGTTTTTGAAAGAGCCACGACTGGAAAGCCTGGCGCCCAAACCGGGCGCAGCTACCACTCCTCAGCCACTCCAGACGAAGCACAGCTGCTCGCTGCCAGAGCTGCTGATCGAAGGCTGGAAGTGAGTTACCTTGCGACGAGGTGAGATGTTCTAGGAGAAAAATCTGCAAAATCCACAAGTTCCGGAGTTAAAAACTAAAAACACGTGATGCTGCTCTGTAATTATAGATTAAACTATAGCTTAAAATAGATTAAACCAATCATAACCAATCGATGCTGGTTTGGAAACAACATGGACATACACTTGCTCCCGGCAATCGACATTTCGTGCAACATAACAGACACCCCTCCTGAAAACGACCAGTATGAGTTTCATGACCCCAGCGATGGAAAGAAGCCATTTACCGGCTTTGGGTTCATTTTCCATCTTTTGTCCAAGTCGGCTTGGAAATGTCTAAATCGAGAGGATGGACAAAAATCCTGCACACATTCAGAGTTCAGATTGTTGGCCTGGGTCTCCTAAATGACCCGAATGAAGCTCCAACTCAAATGCAGAAATGACATAGCCTCATAGCGGTTTAAACATGGTTAACCCCCCAAAAAAAAAAGATGTCAGAGATCCAAACGTGCAACTCTGCAGCCTCCGGAGCCAAACAGCAAAAGCTGAAGTCTTGTGACCGGGCAGCCCCTGCTAGTCCAATCATTTGGAACCTACCTCATGTTAGGAGTCGAGCAAATTCCAATCCACCACATATCTAGTACATTAGTATTGCGACGGCTCGCTTGGTCAGTCTCTACTCACCCACTTCTGGTCGAGAGGAGATACAGTATTGTATATCACATCAGTATGTCATACATATATATATATATATATACCCTTTGTTGATCATGGGCCGACCCCGTGTGCTTGAAACATCTTGAAAGCCAAACTAAACCTCCAAATTCATCCAGTCGCCCTCCAAAGCTGCCCGCACCGATCCAGTCAATGCAGCCAACTCCAGTAAACTGCCTTGAAACTCGATGACGTGCGCTTCCATCTGCACCCTGATCATGTCACGAAGTTGGATCCAGACCCCAAGCTCACGGAAGACTGGGTAAGCTCGCGCTGTATCAGCGATGATCGCGATTCTCTCGGCGTAGTAGAGCGCATTCTTCCCATCCACATTCTGGTGGCATAATTCCTCCAAGCGGAGTCTCCGAGCAAGGGCTAGGCAAAGTCCACCTTCATTACTGCACTCTGAAAGGTTTATGATGTTATTGGGAGAAAAGGCTGATTCCAGGATGTACTGGAGGAGGTTGTCGTCAAACCTGCCAAAGTGACCAGCCCAATACCAACGCGGAAGACCCTCTTCAATCAGCGCAAGCATCAGGTCTGCTCCACGTCCTTCAAACAAGCCACCAAGCTGACCATAACCTCGGGGTAGTGCGAGCTTGTCCTGTATGAAGGTCCAAAGCAGAATTCGCATCGCGTTCGACTGAGCTGGAAAGGAATGAAAAATGGTCTCTTTTGTCTTCACCAGCTGGATGGTTGTGCTGACAACAGCCTTCTGTGCTACTTCTAGAAAATCCTCACCAATGTACCACTGATCTTCATCCTCATCTGGGTCAAAGGAAGGGTCATGAATTGCTTCATGAAGACTCCTCAGAAGATTAAGCATCTTCCAGAGGAGAGTCCTGCCATCAGAATCTACGACACTGCATCCTTTGTCTGGCAGGTTCAAGACCCTTGTGGCCCAGGCAGTGTAAAACTTCTGGCCAACGAGAGGATCGCGGCCAACACGTTTGAAGATCTTGTGCGCCACAGTGATCACGAGGTCTGGGTGCAGCAACTGCTCGGAATCTTCAGGAAAGCCCAGCACCACGTGAGAAGGATCGAATTGACCAGTCACGGACATCACGTCCATCAGCACATACTGAAGCAAGCCTCTCCAGTGTGAGAGTCTGATGTCTAAATAAGACGACCAAGTTCAACAAGTACAGGCAAACTACTAAGTGCCACCAACTTGTGTGGTTTGATGTCAAAAAATGCAACAAGTCGATATAAGTACATGGTGATTGGGTTACAGCAAGTGGTCTTAAGCAAGGGCAACATGTCCAGCTACAAGTGTCTGCTCACCGAAGACTCTGTCTCTTCTTCCGTGCTCCCTGCAATATACCAACAGAGGAGTGAAGCGAGAGTTTCTTAGCCTGTCCGTGCGTGAAAAAGTACGGACATCTTGTGGGATATGGGGGCACTATGAGACTATGAGCTGTTGCAAGTGAACCTCCTTGCTGAAAAATCTCGCGCCTTGCTCCAACAACTCCCAGCACACTTTGCTGTCATCATTGATCTCCAAACCATCTGGACCGATCAGCCGCGCAAGACAAGGTGATGATGGTTTACCTCAGCCAAGATCTGGGACCGGACTTGTTGTTGGTCCTTGTAGATGGGCTTGGAGGTCAAAATACGAATTAGATGTGCTTTAGATGTGCTTGTTCATTGAGTTCACTTTGATCTTTATTCTGAAGTCATGCAGTCTATAGTGTTTCTATACAGTCACCAGGGGTTTCCCAAAGAAAGTATAGCCTGACTTCTTTTGGATCCTACTCTAAGACGCCTCGTTCTGACGCCTGTCTAACCAAAACTTCCGCAGTGTTCGGCTGGTCTAGTCCTACGACACGCAAGTGTCCCGCTCCCCCGGCAAAAAAAGAAAACAAACGTCTGCGGAAAAGGTGTTAGTAGCGTCCAGGTACTTGGAGTGGCAAAGGCGAGGAATCGCTTCAAGTCGTGGAAGCGATGGAGATCCTCGGCCTCCTCGGTGGTCAAATGCATCTCCTTGGCACGCAGTGGCATCCAAAAATGCTGAGGCTGGATGACTGTGGATGGTGAATTGGCATCAACTGCTTTGGATTGCTTTCGAGGTTGGAGATGTTTGTGGGAAGTGGATGGTTGACATCTCAGCAACTGTGTGGGTGTTCTTATTCTATCTTGATGATGATATCTGGTGTCTGCGCATGATCTTTTGTCTCCACAATCTTAGGTAAATCGATATACTTATATATTCCATCATATTCCTTACAATATGCCACCTGCAGCAACTCTGCCGCTTAAAGGCCTAGAAGAATTCTCGACCATGTACGGTCGTTTTTTCACTCACCTGTTCAACGTCTCGGGTGTCCTCACACGTCAAACCTGTGTGTCACATCCATGCTTTGTGAACGAGTGTCATTGAGTGTAACACCAAGTCACTCCCAACACAGCAGAGTGTCACCACCGGGGGATTCTCAGATCGAATTTCCCAAGCGAATGATCAGTTGTCCATGTCCTATGAGGAAGCAAACGCAAGAAGAAGACAACGACGACCAATCACGAAGAAGAAATCTCACAGGACATCACAAGACATCCTTGTGATCGAGATCAAGACCCAAGACATCCCAAGACGACCCAGTTGATGAGCACCCCGGCACCCCTGTCTGTGATCAAGTCTCCTAGACTCTTAGACCTAGTCGAGTTTCTATCAGCTCTCCGTTTAAGCGATGCATGCGAATGGAGAGCATCTCTCCGGCTGGCTTCAGTTCGTGAAGGAAACGATGGGCGGGCCAAAATGGCTTCAGAGGGTGCGGTGGGTGCGGTGGTACCAAAAACATATTGTAGACTCTTGATGAATTTTAAAAAAATATGAAGGAAACACCCACAGGGTAGGACACTGAAGTCACTCCGGTAGGACACATCACTGAGAGTCACTGGGTCAGTGGATGATGCTGGCTGGACGGCACGCTGGGCTCCCAGCAACGTGACGCTTCTGCTTTCTGGCTTTGTGGCACCAAACTCCAAGGTCAGGAGACAAGGTCTGTGCCAAGCTGGAAGTGGTGGAGTTCAAGACATATTTCAGACAAAGACTAAGACCCGTCTGTGAAGGACCCGAGTCCTATCACCGAAATCCCTTTCTCTTTTGCAGTTCCTGGGAACCGTGAGGTGACGGTTTTTTGGGGCGGTTGCTTTGGAGACTCGTCGGCCGCAGGCTCCCCTTTTTCTGTTCGCTGCTCAGCTCAGGTTTGGCCGGCGGAACAGGTTCCGGAACCTCGGGGTGCAAGGACTGGCAGGCGGACATGAAAAGGTAGGAGAATCCCGTGGAACCTCGAGTACCCATTTGGGTGTTTGGGCGGGGCCTGCAATTGGGGTCTGATGAAATCTATGCCTTTCTATGCTGCAGAAGCGACAGGTGAATGAAGCGCCACGACCGGTTTCGATCTCCGGTTTCGGCGGCTTTTCGGGGGGCGCTTCGCACCGATCTCCGGAGCGCCAATCCATTGGGCAAAAGAGCCTGCATATATCCCAGACACTCCATGTATGCCATATATGCCTACATTGACCCCCAAAAACCACCCCAATGTAGGTAAATATACCATACATGGAGTGTCTGGGTATATACATAGGGCTATCCTGCATGCATGTCATCCTCATCAGGCTGTCCATTGGGCTACAAAACATAGGATAGCCTGATGAGGATGACATGATTAGAGCCATGCTTTCTCCGCCACGTCAATACTCCGAGATACTCAGAACGAGATGCGCTCGAGCGGTCCCCGTGACCCGCCATCTCGGATTGGTATCACACAAGTTAAAACGTATGTGGCCAAAACGCAAAAGCTTTTCTGGCCGTCTTCGAAACAGTCAATGGATGTGAATAGTATATTAGTTCACTAAGTGTGTTGAACCGCCACGGATGGATCCCTCTCGTCTTCTCGGTGCCGGCGCTCCCACCGGGCCGAGGTGCAGCACGCTCCGGTTGGACCGTTCGGACCTGTGGCGGTCGACGCGCCGTCGGTCGACGGTCGATTCACCCGTTGAGGCCACCGAAGTGCGGGGGGGCCCAGAGATCTCCTACTTGAACTCAGTCACCGACCTAGGCAACAACCCTAAAGACCAGGCAACTTCTTGAACTCAGTGACCTGACCTAGAAATGGCCGGAAGTACCGAAGTGAACATTCCAGGGAGATGGAAACACATTGAAACACGTGTTTTGCTTGTGTATACCACCTGACGGGGAATGGACAAAAAGGACCTTGAATTGATGGTGTCTTGGTTTCTGGACAAGAATCGACACAAAACGAAACTATCTTCTGATAGACATCACCTGATCTATGGCATGCTTTCGCCATCGTTTTTCGCCATCGCGAAAGGTGGCTCAGCCTGATATATCCTTCAGGAAGTTCGCTGATTCAGTCGATCAAACCGGGCACCACCAGTCACTCGCCTCTGCATGGTGGCTGAGGAGGACCGCTGTCGAGCCTGACGCATGCTGACGCGGCGGAACTCGGTGCCGGTGCGCGGAATTCAGGTCTGTGACTATGCAGTGACTGTACCATACACAGCTAGTCACTGTACTACGGCAATCATACAGCTCTCATTGCCCAGTAGCTGCAAGACAGCTACACTCCGACTGACTAACACGGAAGTGGATGGCAAGGCCCATTGGATGACCTGTTCTCCGAATACCAAACAGGTGGTGCCATCCACTTCCATGTTAGTGAGTCAAAGGGTAGTCATACATTGCCATTGTTTACTGTTTTCGAAAGGTGGCAGACCTGGAGACATCAGGTGGCCTCCAACAACCAGTTCCAAAACTATTTCATCGATATCCTAACAAACGAGTCAAAGGCTATTGGTCTATCATGGGATATATCCTATGTCATGGCCTCGTCTTTTTGGGAAATCCACCAACTTTTCGGATTTCAAGGACTCTCCCAAACTGCATATAGCTGGACCTCAATCTTTCGATTCAACCTGCCTGCCCACGCGACGTGGTGCGCCCGGAAGCAAGATCTGAGCCTGAACATCTGATGAGCGTGAAAGGGGCAAAGAAGAGGTCTTAGAGCTTGTGCTGGCGACAGAATGTCCATCTGTGACCCTGGCTTTTTGGAGACATTGCATCTGGAATCTTACGTTCCATCTAAGAACTTACACCCTCCATCCATTGTTGTTCCTTTGATTTGATTTGACTATTAATATTGTGTGCTTATGAATTATAAAGCCCATGCGCCCTGCATCAACTAAAGGGGTGAGTGGATGTTGTAGTTCCCTATTCAGGAATCAAACCTGCGGCGGAGATTGCGTGGCGAAAGGAGAGATTCGGAGAGACCAAAAAGAGGAACACCGCAAGACCCAAACTGAAATTGGAGCAAGCCATACCCCTTTCGAAAAACCCGCACGAGTCACATTGATCATCATTGAACCATGTATTCCATGACCTTTCTCGTCAAGGTCTACCACGTATCCCACTCATCTGAGCCCGTCACCCATCCAGCCCTCCACCGGTCACGGGCTGCCTACCGGGTGAACTCTAACTTTGGCTGTGCCGAAGGGAAAAAAGGCAACAACTTCTCCAGTTCTCCCCTTATTCGTGGGGGATTCACCCATTGAAAACGGGCCAACTTCACGTCTTCTTCACCCACTTCACCCACTTTCTCACGCCTGGCGTGCCGCCCACGTCATGGCTTCCCACTTCGGGATGGAGACTCGAGAAGGTGCCGGCCGTCACGAGGTCCTGGATGAAAGTTTCAGCGAAAGCGAGGAAAGCCTCGGGGATTGGGAAGGTGGAAAACACATGTGTTACCATGAATGTTAGTTAGCAAATCATGTGTAAATCGATATGACAATGTCCTTTCTTAAGATGTAAAGGCAGGTTTTTAGAGCGGCTCACGTGTTAGATCTATAGTGAGCAAATCTCGACAAACACAACCAGGGGGGCCGTGATGGGCTGTGATCATGTGATCACGTGATCCATGGGAGTGTGAGCACGGGATGTTGTCAGTTAAAACAGTTGTGCGTTCAGAGTTCAGACAGTTCCAGGCAGACATGCACTGTATAGTAACAGTATGTAACAGTACTTACTACTTACTTATTACTGGGAAGGCTCCAAACAGGTGGATCCACCAACTATGCATCTGACAAATGTGCATAGTACGTAGAAGATGTTGGCTATGGACTATGGTTCACCACCAAGTTTCATCTGAGAGGTTCAACAAGCGCATGTTTTCGTGCGCAGTCTCCTGCCCACGCGGCAGCGCTGGCAATGCACTATCTCAGAGTGGCAAAACATTAAGCTTATTAAACTGGGGCATTTAAGATTGACAACGGATGAGCATGGTTCTTGAAAAGTCCTACTATGTTAAGTTAAATCCACTTAAATCCCCATCATCAAACCCGTCAAAAAGGATCTCTGTTCCTGTGACAGAGGTTCTTAGCTTCGAGCGTTCTGGCGTGTCAGGAACCGTGCTCTGAGGCAATTAACGGTAGCTCACTGCATTTTTATTCAGCTGACTCAGCTTGCGACCCACGCTGCTGGATCGCGTGCCTCCGCCCAAATCGCGTAAACCGGTGCGCCTTTTGCGGGTTTTTTACACCGGCAGAAGAACACTGCATCGGATGAATTCGGATCATACTGAAGCCAAAGACTTTGCACCATAGCATTCTATAGTGGCCTTCTACAATGGCAATACATCGCATTCTATGGTGCAATACATAGCATTCTATAGCCTTCGATCCATGATCCATCAAAAGGTTTTTTTTCCGAATAGTGCTTCCTTCAACAGCGTTAACCCGAACACGTTGGACCCACCCTCCACCCTTCAACATCCCCTTCCAGTGGAACACCTGGCCGAGTTGCGGGACACCTTGAATGTTCGAAGTCCTGGAGTCCTGCTCACCCAAAAAGTAGATGAGAACCCACCAAGAGAGGTGCTGTGACCTGAACTAGGACCCGTTCGCCTGGGGTACCGAACTGGGATAGTCGAACAGTCGGGTTCTTGAACCTCTGGCATGCGAAAACCAAATCGATGGCGCCGGAGGGGGTTCAACTTGAAGAAAGCTCACCAATCCCACTGATCTGATCATCTGTGGATGGGAATGGGGAAGGTCGCGCAACACGCGACAGCTGGCCTTTTCTGTGCCTTTTGAGCAGCTGTTTCCCGCGCGCGCACGTGGCAGCCCGAATTCGGTCAGCGTGAGCAGAGTGACAAACCCTGAACATCTTGGTTGAGAAAACATGGGCACAACAAATTACATGTATGCTTTTGGTGGGTGATCTTGGTGGTGGAAAAACCTATAGGACAACTCTCGGATCTGTCATCACTCTCCAACCTCTTCGGTGTCCGCCACGTGGCGTCCAAAGCAGGATCTTCAGGTTCATCGTCTCGTCGTCGTCTGGTGAACTATACGTCTGATATAAGGGCTTCTAATCAACTCAAGTCAATTTGCATCTTCAATGTATTAAGAATAGAAACTCCGGTCGACTCAAGTGATGCACCTGAAGAGTGTGGGAACTGTACCCGCTGATTGAACAAATCCCTGCACCCAAAAAATAAAGGGCAGCCCTGGGCCGGCTGTGTGTCCAAATGGCCATGTCAGCCGACAGCAAGAGAAGGCCAGTGGCTCCCAGCAGTTTCGTGAGAACTCGGGCCACAACATCATAGTTCATATCTGGGGTCTATCCTACCTGTAACAGTGGATGATGATGGTTAGTAAAGGATCATCAATTACTTGTCCAAAAATAGTGATCATTGTTTACTGACTGCTACAGGTCATGGGACAAACCCAAGTCATATCCACATTCACCAGTCATTGAGCCCAGTGGGTCTCAAGGCCAATTCCGGCCTCCAAACCCTGCAAAAGCTGAGGCTAACGATGGCCAATTAAGATTCACAAACCAGGACCCTCCGACAGGTGAAACCTGTTGGGGCCAGATGTCTCTGACCTTGGACGCCTCTACCTCTGAGCGTTCCTTGCTTTTGTTCAGCACCTGCTCGTGCAGCTTCCAGGCCATACGTGAGACATCCATCTGTTGGGGCCACCTGTCACTCGCTTCGAGGAAGTCGCCCGTCTTGCTGGCTTGCATCTTCTTCACTAGGGCCTTCTTCACATCAAACACCACCGTGCTACTGTAGACGCTGGTCATCACGGCCGGATGTACGCGCAAGTCCAAGAAGTTTTCCGTATACACGCACATCATCCCGCCTGCATAGCGGATGACGTCCGGAATGACATCACAGCCGTGGCGGTCAATGTTGGTTGAGTTGCAAAGGGATGCCACGCCTTGGGCATACCAGAAGCCGCCCTTCTGCTCCGGGTTGTAGGGCATGCGCGGACGCACGAGATCGATCAAGGAGCGTGGATCTTGCAGCAGGGGTTTCCCCATGGCATCTTTGGAGAAGTTGAACAGCGTGTAGTAGAAGAGCTGCTCATCCGCCGCTGTCGAAAGCACGCCACCGGCACCATTGACTGTGCCAAGATCAAACTCATCGCGGCATTCACCGGTGGCATAGATCTCATGGGTCTGGGGGTCACGGTACTGGTAGTACTCATAAACCCTCTTCCTGCGATCTCCCGCCATGCTCAGCTGGTAGTCATACGGGTCATACTCGGTCGAGGTTTGCCCCACCACACTGATGATGTGCTTCTGGAAATACTCCCTGAGCGGTTTTCCAGAGAGCTTCTCCACGAAATACCCTGCAAGCACAAAGGCGCTGTTGCTGTAATAGTACTCCTTGCCTGGAACGAAGAGCAACTCTTTTCCGATGAAGAGCTTCACCGTGAGACCAATCGAGCCCAAGTAGGGCTGGAACATCTTGCGAAAAGGAAAGTTGGGAATGCCCGAGGACATCGCCAGTAGGTCCACGAAGCGTACCACCTGCCGCACGACTTTAGATTGAGCCGACGCTTTGGAGAGCAAAAGATCATCTCAAAGATTATCAAAGTATGAGTGCATAGTATGGCCTTCACATACATGAAAGCACGTGTTAGATGCGCATGGTGGTCTGTCTGACACTATCTGTCGTCGAACACTAAACAACTTCCATCCATGGCTTCCGTCTTGGGAGGACTTCCGGTCTCATTCTGCAACCGATTCTGGTGCCTACCTAAGGCGATGTGGAGGACATGCCGCATGCCTCAATACAATCATTCATATTCCTGGACCATCCAATGGGTGTCCAATGGAGAAACCTAAGTTCGTGTAGTCCAACCAAAAGAAAACATTGGATGTCCTGGATCGTACATGAAGTGCTCGTTCTCTTCGGCTCTTGGATGGAACCACATGGTTCTGCAAAAAATGATGTTACAACTCAAACATGCAAGCTAATGATACTTGTACTCTTCCAATATTTCTGCAATGATCCACCTGACATTCTGAAGATCCCGCAACTTTGGGACAATACTTGCGTGTTCCCTTCATTCCAAAGTTCTCAAAGTCTCTGGCGTTCAAATAGTCGGCGATGGAGGCGTTGAGATCCACTTTTCCGGCCTCCTGCAGTTGATACAAAGCCACAGCCACGTAGAGCTTCGTGTTGGAGCCCACTGGGAAAATGGCATCAGCCGGCATGGGGTCGTTGTAAGGGATGTTCAAGAAGCCATACCTGGAAGAGCGCGACCAAATCCGCAACAATCCAGGGTTTGTTATTTTTGCATTGAGTTGAATCAGACTTGATGGATTCACAAAGGGGGAGGGTCCAACCTATCAATCATTCGACCAACTTGAGGATTGACAAACAAAAAATATATTAGACTCTTAGACCCTCATCGTGTGCAGTGGCTGTATCCTAATTCACGGATTCCTAAAGGGATCAAAACCTGTTTGAGTCCAAAATGGTTCAAGGTTTTCTCGGACGGACAAATCAGACAAGACTTGAATCCAGCAAGCACGATACTCTTTCTGGAACAGGACCTCGTGCGCAGCGTTGGTGACCCGGGCGACCCCGTTGAAGTCGTCCCAGCTGTCAAGGGCTGACACAGCCGACACGATCCACAGGATTTGCAGCAAGACCATCTTTGCGAACTTCTTCGAAGCCGTTGCGATCGAACATATAAGTAGATAAACAATCGCGCTCCGCTCGGATCCGCTGATGGCTGCAGCGCTGGAAGAGAGTCCGGCCAAGTCATGAGGCTCCCTCTCCTGACCAAGGAGATCACAAAATCCGATGATTGAGTTTGAATTTATACTGTTCAGCAGAATACATGCACCAAAACAACAAGGCTCATGAACTGTGCCAGTTCATAAAGGAAGAACATCAACCGACCAGCCAGCTGCTGGTGCGTTCCACAAGGGTCGTGAAGCACGGTGGACGACCGGTCGAAGCCGTAGCTGAAAGCTGATGTCACATGTCCCTGTCCCTGGTAGAGACACCAGGGGCACGACAGCACAACAAAGGCGCGTTTGGGACCATGTGTGCCATGCTCACATCCTTGGGTTTTTGGGTATCCTCCAATCCACCCTTTCATCAGCTCTCCAATCCGACTTCGAACTCAAGGGACGACCTACTCCGCCCTCGCCCAGGGCGGCGCCGGGCCGAACTCGGCGCCTTGCTTGGTGGGCTCAGCCTGGCGAAGGGATCCAGCGAGATGGTGCAATGAATGAAGGGGGTGCAGAAATCAGTACAATGGTTTCAGAGTAGATGGCACAATCCTCAAGTTCGGTGGTTTATATGGACCCCCATCTGTCTAAGACATAGGATGGATCATCGGCACAATCCTCAAGTTCGATGGTTTATATGGACCCCCATCTGTCTAAGACATAGGATTTCATCATCTAGGGGTGCCAGTGCCATCTACTCTGAAACCACTGTACATATGTTCACCGCTTCCAAACAGCACCGCTTCAACTCTTTATCCCGCTGGTGTTTTCGGGGAGCTTGAAGCGACGCTAGGAGTTCGCAGAACTGAAACCAAAAGAGTACCGTGGACCCTTCCTTCGAGTTCTTCGCAGAGCCCAAGCATATATTTTGCCTAAGTGTTACCCAAGCTGAGAAGTGTTGGTTGACAGCAGGTGCTGCAAATCTGTGTTCGGGGTGTCCTCATGGTGTCCTCGTGGACTCACGATCTCGCGAGAAGACGCACGATCTCACGACGCTCATCTCTTGAAGCTTCGGAAAGGGCGAAAGAAGGAGCGCCAACGCACTCGACTTATCCCTCTAAAACCCAGTTTGGGGGCGGAAACAATGGAAAGAAACCATGGAACAACCATGAACAACCTATGCTTGGTGTCAACCTGCCCGGGCCTGTCACAGAAATGCTTGCTGGTTGGATATTTGCCAGGAAGAGGCCTGCCTCTCTTGAAACCCTTTTGAAGTGAGCAGCTAGCATCTACCAAATCCCAGGCATCTGAGCAGCTGGCCAAATACTGACAGTCTGGCAGTTGAGTTTCTGGAAGTCTGCTTCACAGGGTTCACCTTCATTGTGGGCGATTCCCTGCCCTGTGCCAGCCATCTGCGTTGTTCTAAAGCTCCTCAAGGTAAAGCGTGCCTCCAGGTTCTCACTGGGCAAGGTCAAGTCCACCTGCGACAATGGAACGCACTCATACCCAGCTCTGTGGAGAATAATATTTACAGATATTTACAGAACATATTATGCAACAAGTTATTCCAAGATTATACAAAGTATTCTATATGTCAAATTTGGCTTGGAATTCTATGTTCTAATTAAAGATATTAAGAGACCACCATGAGTGGAAACGTCACGAAAAATTAAGAATAAAAAACTCCACCAGGCGATTGTGGTTTTCGACCAGAAATGATACCAACCTGGAGACTCTCCACAGTTGCCGCCTTGGAACCAAAGGAGCCAGTTACTCGAGGGGACTCAGTTGAGTCCTTACTACGTTATTACTGGCTTCAGCATCAGCATGCGTCACTCCGCACTGGAGCTTTGCGCTTGAGCCACCTGCTCTTCCTACCAATCTGAATCCACATCCATTTGACTCCCTCTTCCATCTGATCCCTCAATACCCCCACACATATCTCTATACTCTGCAGCTCCGTTCCATGGAGGTGAAGCCCCCGTTCTCCATGTGTTTTTATGCCCTCCACCTCCATGTAACTCAGAGGGGCGAGTCAAATGCAAGTATCATTGTAGACGATATATATATATATATATATAAACAATCTCTTGCAACTTGCATTGAACAAACTCTTCCTCCTGAAACCTACAATCCGAACGAACTGCATTGAACATCACTTGTCCACGAACAGGACACCCGCCACGAACAGGACACCCGTTCCAAGCAAACCGTTCAACGAACCGTTCACCGTTCGCGTCCAACCGTTCCGACGCCAACCGGACTGGTCCTCCAGGAGGTCGGTCACGACCGGTCGCGCTGGATGGCTCGTGGCCTGGAGGAAGGAAGGACGGACGGACCGCGCGAAGGTGGTGGGAGGATCGCTGTGAAGAGGTGAAGAGGATGGCGTGGATGGCCAACTCTGGTGCTTGGGAGGAAAAAATTCAAATAGTGGCTGGGAAAATCCAAAGACTTCTGTGTTACACAACGCGGCTGGAAGCAGCTGAATGTGCTGACCACAAAAGATCACAAAGACTACACGCAATGCGTGGACAGTGAGTGGTCTTTGAATGGTTTTCTTCTATACTCCTCCAGGCCTCCTCAAACTGATGGTTCTACCGACGGTGTAAGAGTTCGCTGTCCATCCAAAAGAGTTTCTACCAGCAATCCCCAACAGGTCACCCAGCCCTCTCAAAGTCTACAAAAGCCTCCAGAAGAAACCTGCTTTGGAAGTGGTTGGCGCACAGGTCCCAACAAGGCGAAGGTATTTGGATCCTGCAGGCACCTTCTCCAGTCTCACCTTCGAAATTGAGGGCATGTGCTTAGACTCTGACCGTGTCAGGTGTTGACCTCGTCATTGTGCCCGTTCCATGTGTTCTTCCAGACCGACCCATCGGTCCAGCCTTGGGCTGCGAGGAGCGACGGAGGCCTTGAATGATCCTGCGACGGTTGGATTCCTTGACGGACCGACTGCAAGACTGTACCGGACTCTGCCGGACTGAAGAACCGGCCTGCGGCCAGTACCGGCAGGCCCGTGAGGACGCGCACAGGAGTGTGTCTGATCACACTCAAAATGAAGAAGAACCACTTATATACAGTAATGAGGTGCCGATGAAACATGTGTTCGATGAACAATCATCTACAAGGTCAACCGTGAACATTTGAACCCTAGAACAATCCTTCGGCACTTGTTTACCCTGACGAACCCACTGGCGGAAGCTTTTGAAGGGTCAGACTGACACGACAATGCCACTCATCGAACGGAAAGGCATCTTTTGAATCTTTTGATCTATACCAGGACCCTCCAAGGGGTGTCCAATGGACTACCCCACACTGCCTATAGGCTTCCATTGGGCACCCCTTAGAGGGTCCTGGTACTTTCTGTAGAGCCCCGTCATGTCTGTTTTTTCTCCGTTCTTCTGCTCCGCTGCATGCTGGCTGCGGCCGGGCCGCTCTACTCCAAACAGCTTTGCTGCGGCATCGCCGCTGGACAGCGTGCTGGTCCAAGCGAAGGTCCGCAGTTCTGCTGACAAATCCTCAGGCAAGGCTTCCTCAACGATGACCTGCTCATCCTGCAAGTCCTGAGAAAGGCTGAGGCTGAGGCTTCGGAGGATGTCACTAGGTGATTGAGGTGTTGCTCTGTGGCCATCATGTCAACCTGTCTCGACACTCTAAGCCTTGCACAGCTGGACGCCAAGCATAGCTCACTGTCAGCTCACTTGCTTTCAGCACTAAGTCACTGTTGTTGGCAACTCCACTCATCCCACCCCTGCCCTCGACGCTTTATCACTTCAAGCTCCCTCCCTCCCTCCCTCCCTCCCTCCCCACCTGGAAGACCAAACGATGTCGGTGGATGAACAGCCGCCCCGTCGCGGCGGCACCGTAGCGCTGGTCGTGTCTCACTGGACAGCCGCGCGAGCTCAGCTGGACACGGATCTGGTGGCGCCGCCCGGTCACGATGCGGAACTTCCAGAGGGTGAAAACCGCATCCTCTTGGCCTGGGAAGAGCGCAGGGGGAAAGCAAAGGTGGTTGGATGGTGTTTGGACGGTGTTTGGATGATGTTTGGCAGGGGATAGTCCAGTACGCGAACAGTTGTTTTCTTTTTTTTTCAGTGTGTGTGTGTTTTTTCTTTTCGGGGGATCCAAGTGCATGTATTGTAGAGGCCCGAAGGAAAACAACATCTAACGGATGATATCTGATCTTCCTTCAACATAGGATGTTCATTTCCCACACCATCGACAGCCTTCCCCATCGAACGATTTGCGAATGGATACAAAACGAAGATCCGGATCGAAAGCGAATCAAATCCACACACTTCAAACATACTCCCTGAGTCCAGAATATCTACCAGGAGCCCTCCAATTAATTCATGAATGCACTTCTTTTCCTATCTTTTCCTCATGTCCCACACTTTCTGGCCTCTATTCCACCATATTCCGCTTCTCCCCCCCCCAAAAGAAAAGGCACCACCTCACAACCCCTCCCCATCCACCTATATACCTGCTCCCCACTCCCCACCCCACACCCTCCTCACCGCACCTGGTCCTTGGAGCTCCGCCAGCGGCTGCGCCCAGCTCCGCGAGGGCCGTCCCGCGGGCGCGGCCGCCACGGCGGCACCGCCGGGGATCTCCTCGAGGCGGTCGTCCAGGCGGCGCCACTCGCGCCCCGGCGCTCCTGGAGACGAGCCGCGGCACTCGGTAGGGAGACGGTCCGGCGCGCGGTAGGGAGACGGTCGGGCGCGCGCCTACAAGGGGGAAAGCGGTAGGTCGGTCGGTTTGCGGTGTGAAGGGAACGGTGGAGTCTGGGTGGATTGCATTGGAGGAAACTGGATGGCAGGGTTGGATGGAGCAAAAACAAAAAGTGGGGCTGGTTGCTTGGTGTGTCAAAGATGGTGGATGGGATGAATTGGGTGACTCCAAAAGAGTGTCCTTGTTTGACAGGAATGTCTTCCTCCACTTTAAGAACAAGTGGATTCAGAATCATTGCAATGGGTTTCAGGCTTACGAAAACATACTTTTCTGAGACGGCAGTCATCGACTTTATTGTTGAGAAAGACCCTGGCAGTAGCAAGACAAAAGCTGGGAAAGCAAACAGATCATATTCGCGCAATTTCTCGTCTTGAATTTGGAAGATCATTTTGAGACAAGCCCCTTTAGAATTCCAAGCTACAAATGCCCTGAGCCACCTTCCCTTCTGAAAACCCTCACAAAAGCTGAAAACCGGCGTGTGGCTCGTGTTCAGAACACGCCTCCATGCGCTCCTTCTGCATCGGCTCCTTCTGCATCTGCACTCGATCCCAGATCCGCAGTCCCGTGGGCGACGACCAGGTATTCTCGAACCACCTGGCAGTCCCGAAACTCGGTGCTCTCAGGCCCCAAACGGATCGAAGTAGGTAGGGATGGGATGGATCGGAGGAATTTTAGACGGTGGGGATGGGGTAGTTCGCTGCTTTTGAAGGTTTCAGTCCTGACGAAACAAGTCGACTATGATCATAGTTCGGCAGTAGTTGATCTTTTCATAATTTGAGGTGGTATGAACCTGTTCCAACCCAAAGGAAATCGTCCAAAGAGACACCTCTTCTCGACCCGACAGAGTCGAGGACTGGTCTGCGACCAGTTCCCCCCCATGTCTCGGCCATCTCCAAACCGATCCAAACAATGACGGCCGGCCGCGACGGAGGTCGCGAGAAATGGCACCACCTGTGCTGGTCGTTTTCCTAGTGCTGTTTGGATCCAAACTGGAGGGCCATGGCGGCCATGAAAAAACCACCCCGGCAGGTTCCACGGAGTCTTTCGATGCTCAAAAAATACCTTTCTGGATCCCCCCCAACGGGGCTCGGTCCTTGCAGTTTGGAGGTCACCAAAGACGTCATGATACAGAAACTGATACATGATGCATCACAGGAACTGGCCACCAGTGGTTTTTCAGGATCTTAGCTTGGAGTTGCAGGAAGAAAAGAACCTCTCCCCCACAAATTCTCTCAGAACTGGCCCAATCTTTGCTCTCAGGACCTTGCCCCCCCCCCACCTGAAGCGTGTCTTGTTGCCATCTTAAGTCCAGGAGTGCCTCGTAGCTTTGCGCATGAATCACCTGCGCCAAGTGGGCGCGTTCGTGGGCGCGGTTCCCGCGCAGTTCGCGAAGCGCCGTTCGTGAAGGAAAGCACCGGGGAGCGCAGGGGAGCGCGAGAGCGAAATCCTGATGGTCCGCAACACTTGGGCGGACACCGGGTAGACTGAGACAAAGTCGAAAAGAATAACAAAAAGGAAGCAGGCTCTCTCCCATAGAGAGTCACAGAGCTGAATTTCGACATCCATCTCATCTCATGAAAACCACCTCGCACCGCCTCATATCCGCATCCTGAGGTGGAAGTGGACCAAAAAGGCATTCCCATAGTATCCGGTCACGGAGCTTCTTGTCTCATCTCATCCCAAAGAGTTACAGACCTCGGCACCGTGTCATCACCCATCACCCCACTCGATCCATCTCTCCGCACACCGCACACCCCACCAGGCCGCTGCTCTGCACGTCCAAGCGATGGAGAAAGCCCTCGTGGTCGACCGTGGATCGACCCAGCACGCGCCGCACGAAGTGGGACAGCCTGGCAGGTTCGGCTCGGCCGCGGCCACCGGTGTCTGGGAGGCGGACAGAGAAGATCCACCCGCTCCCAAGCAGAAACGAACCCCAAAAACACGACCTGTCTGGGACTGGCATATTTACATACATTGACCCCTGTAATCAACCACCCCAATGTAGGTCAATATGGCATAATGGAGTGTCTGGGAAATGGATGCTTTCCCCATATACCAACCACTTCTTATGTCAAGGATCTCAATTGCCACATGGGAACAACACTTTGTTTCTGGTTGGGACATGTTGTTGGGACGGGGCTTTCCAGGTGGTTGGTGGACATCTCCAAAAGCCTGCCCGAAGCCGCGGAAGCTTTTTCATGGCGTCTTCTACTCCGAAATACTCGCCACGACCCGAGGAGTCTGAGTCCCGGAGTTCACCATCCCCATCATCATCAGGGGGGACGCAGTGACCCGGGATGTGGGACACTCCCTTTTTCTTTCATTGTTTTACGTTTAACACCTTCTCAGGAAGACCATGAGGTTTTAGCTTGGTGAGAAGAGGTGTCAACAGGTCTTTATAGGTCGTTCAGGGGGCGGCACCAAGTTCGCCTCGCTGCGCTGGAGCTCTGCTTGGTCTCGGGGCCATCGACTTCCCAGCCAGGCGGCTTGTGGAGCACCACGGCGCCTGCGCGTTCTGCGAGACGCCGCGCGGAACACGACGTGTGAACCGCGCGTTCTGAACCCCCACAACAGTGGACGAACGAAGTGGCCTGTTCCCTGATCCTCCCGGAAGAAGGGAACCGGTGCGCGGAAACAAGGAGCGAATGGTTGGAACGAGAAGTTGATCATCTGTCAAACTGATGCTCGTTTCCCCAAAACAAACATCCACACAACATGATGCCGCTGTCTCAGTGCTCTTCTGTTGTGGCTTGACTGGAAGGTGCCGTCCTATAGTAGATCCTATCATTATTCTGGAAGGTATCGCCCCCAGTTTGGCGCCTTCGCAGTAGCGTACAATGCGAGGTTCATCTGCTGCCGGCACCTGGCAACATCATCAGACCAAGGCTCTGTTTCAAGAACTGGGATGAAGCTCGTGGTTCGAAGAACTTCTCAGCTGAAGGAAGCTCGGAAGAACACACCTGGGTTGTAGAACCCAATGGACTATCCCCCAGGTACCGGAGTATGGTCCTCTTTCAGGTCAACCTCTCTTGGGCTCTGGACTATCCGTCCACCCTGCCACCCTTACCACTCAGATCTTGGCACCTCTTCTGCAGCCGCACCATCCGCGCCCGCACGACCTTCGCCCGCACGACCTTCATCGCGCTGGCGGCCCAGGAGGCGCAGGTGCCGCCGCAAGGCTTGGAGGAAGT